TGGCTGACTAGCATCTTTAGAACAAGCTTCTGATAATGTTTTTAAATGTCTTTTCCAATGTCTCTCCCATAGCATGTATTCAGCAGGGAAAAGAACTCAATTTGCGATGTTTTTAATATCATGTGGGGCTAGAATACGCACAGAGAAGGTGGCTTTTAATAAGTTTCCAAAGAAATGTGAACTTCGCCCATGTTGTACCTTGTTAAGTTCTTTGAGTTCTCTGTATGGAATATGTTGCCATGCAGGAAGATTTAGGTATTGACTACCATTGCTAGACCAGCAAAGAGTACAGACCCTCCATCTCCAGCAAAGTTAGTTAGTCCAATGCAACCTAGAGAATATTTTCCACAAAAGCCATATATCTGCTTTTAACACACATCCAGGCTCTGAAAAATGTAGGAGGAATAGTAACCATATGAAAATGAAAATAAGTGCCATGAGCAGCCAAAAAGGGAGGAAAAAGTGTACAAGGAGCGGATTCACTGGGTGTTCTGGCATATTCGGTGTATAACAAAACCAGTCTTGGCTGTCTCATCAATATTTCACTGCAAATTCAAAGCTTGTTTTGCTGTATTTACTGAAGAACACTCCTCTCACTCTACCACATGCAAGGCATTTGTACACTGTAAACTTTTCTGAGGTAGTTCACATTCATCAGCAACAAACCTCTGTGGGAGTACTTTTTCCCTGTGGAAAGCAGGGCTGAAATCGTAGCTGTTTCCTTTTTTCCAAGACACACACTCAAAAATATGCTGGAAATTCAATGCTATGTCAGACGACTTTTAAGGTTTTTCCAGCTCTTTCCATTTCCATGCAATAATACAGTAAATAATTTCTTTTAAGGTAAGATCAAATGTGGTTAGAAGCTAAAATTCTGTGTTTAAATTCACACTGATCTCCTTCTCTTTTTGTCTTCAAATAGTCTGTCAATTTCTTCTGATTGTCATACATTTAAAGGTCCATTTGTCATTAGTATAAAGTGACATAGCCTTTACTTTGTACTGCTTGCATCTTCTCTCTTAAAGTAGTCAAGAGAATATGCTGATGCTGACAAAAATGTGTGTGCAACATAGGACAAGGAGGGGGAAGCTTGTTATCTATACAAGACAATTAAGAAAAATTCTCTACAACAGATTGAAAGCCCTTATGCCATTTGAAAGTGCCAAGGCTTTGTAGCATATTTTTTCCCAACATTTAAAAAGATTAGTCTGTTTTCCTTTCCCATAAGTCTAGAAAAGGTGGGGTTTTAATGTTTTTAAGGGTTTTTCCTTATTATTTTTTTCTCAAACCCTGCTGAGCACGAACTATCTAAAGTTTTGTGGAAAAATCCCTAGAAACCTCAGATACATTAGTCAATGAGATATTACAGCTTATTGAAGAAAGTGGCATTTACAATAGTCAACAATCTTCTTTTGTCCCATATGGTGTTATTACACTGGAAGTAAATAGAGCGCAGCTTCAAAAGATACAAAGTAAACGGTTTAAAAGTACAATTAAAACTCTTCATTCTGCACTGCTTAACTCGTCTCATGCTTTCAACAAGTTGTCACTTAAACGAAGAAAGAGCACAAACCCGGACGCTTCCTCAACCCTTTCCCACAGCTACATTAGAAAAAGGATGGAAGGTACAGTTTGCCACAGTTTTAAAGGTCAACCCCAGTACCAGGCATCCTCAGGAAAAGAGACTAGATGAGACACAGATCTCAAGGGAACTATCAAGTTTGTATCCAGCAGATAGCCGATTCTTAATGCAATGAGAGGTAGATACTTAAAATCAAAACTTTCAGTTTTAAGAGAAAATCTTCATGTTATCAAGCTTTCTGGTAAAGAGTTGTTTGTGTACATGACTGCAGAAGTGGAAAAGGCTTCTACGTAATGTAGAAATGTTCTGTTGGATTTAAATAGGCTGTTCGGATTTTTCAGCTGAAAAATGAAAATGGAAAATTATATTGGGATAAAACCAGATGGTTTTAGACCTTGAGTGCATAAAATCTGAGGCCAAAAGTAATAATTTTGCATGACACGTTTCTAACTTGCAGGGCAGCTATTTGAGTCTCTAGAGCCTGATTGGTAAATTAAATTAAATTCAGGGGTAACTGAGAGAAAAATAGCTGACCTTCATTTCTGCTGCTTCAGATAATTCAGTCACTACTGTGAAAATAATGCCACCTGATAGGCCTTGTGCTAGGTATAGTGTTGTTAAATCACATGTAACATTCAGAAAATCAAATGTTCTTGAAGCAGCCTCTCTGCCCCTTGTTGTTATCCATATGCCAAGCCAGAGGCTCATTTACAAAAGAATCAGAAATATAATATTTCACAAAAGAATCAGAAATATGCCAGAGAATGCAGAATAACATGGTATTAAAACCTAATAGACAAAACCCTTATGTGGCAGAACTGGTCATAAACAGCATTGATGATGTAATTACTTATTAAAATGAATTTGTCATATTAAAGAAAACAGTGTAAGTCACTTCTTTTTCATGCTGTCTTATATCTTTAAACTTAAGAAGCCATTTCAAAGACCGACAGATCTCCAAAGGAAAATATGCCAACCTCATCTCTCTGCATGGAAAATGTGAAACTATTGAGAGGAGAAACCTCAAAAATTTATCCCAGTCCTCAGACAGATTCTGTCTGTAACTTATCCTGGCTACAAAAATATGCCCCTTGGAGACTGCAGTGGGAAAATCCCACACTTCCTCTTCCCTCTCCCTTCTATCCATTTCTGTCCTCTGTTTCTGATGGGAGGAGGGCTGAGCCTTCATTTTGGTCAGGCAGAAAAAGTGGTTTAGTCAAACTATAGTAGACTCAACATTCCCTATTGTAGACTCAATATTCTACCACAGCTCAACAGCAAGGCAGCTCCTACACACACTGAGACTTTCCTCCGTTCTCAAAGTGCATGTTAGAAAGTGTTTGAACTTTTAATTTTAAAAGCTTTTATTTTTTTTTCAGCAGGACAGCATTCTATCAACATAAGAATATATTCTTCACCACTTGCATTTGTTTTAGCATCAAAAGTATATCAAATATGCCTGTATACTTCCTGCACCCAAAGTCAAAGTTATTTCTTACAGATAATTTTATTGTATTCTTCAAAGTGATATTTACCTCATTTAATGGAGAAAGAAAAAGAAAAAAGACAAAAGACAAAAAGGAGAAAAGAAAGTAAAGAGAGAGGATCAAGGCTGGGCAAATCTCCCTTGGAAGACCATTTAAGTAATATGTAATAAAATTGCTCTTCTGGCTTCCTTTTATTTTAAAATCATTTAAATCTTGATATTTTCCCTCGGGACAAGAAATCTACTTTCTGACCAGTTCTAGATGTGAGATCTTGAAGGAGGATGGTAAGCTCTAGTATAGAACAAATCGCAGTAAAGACTCTTTGTCAAAAGCAGATAAGGACAGCACCCTTCAGAATACTCAAAATTTCTGGAAAGGTGGGCACAATGAACACCCTGACAAGGAGAACAGAAAGATTATGCAGAAGCAAACTCCTGGAGGGCTTGTGGCAGCCTGAAGGCAAAGTGCTTCAGAAGTACCTTATCTCAAAAGAGAAAAGTGCATCTACTAACTCTTTCCAGCCCGTGGTTGCATTCATCCTCAAGTGCAGACGTCTCCCCTGGGAGCACCACACGCACATCCAGCTCCCTGCCTCACTCACCCTGGCCCAGGAGCAAAGCACCAGTCCGAGAGATGGAAAGACATTAGCACATGCTATTTCTCTTAGACATGGCCATTTGTGTCTGCCTGAGTACAGCTTTTTGTTCTCTTTCTCTTCTTGATGATACTTGGGAAGCTCGACAAGTCCTTTTGCAGAAGAAATTGAGTCGTTTGAGATACACTGCTGTCATGTCCACTGTATGGCAAGACAGAAAGCCCATGAAATGAGGTAGAACTAGTAATCATCAAGAAAAGGGAGGACTGAGTGAAAACAGAGAAACCATAATTTATGAAGTTAATATACCCCAAAATACTTCCCATATGCTCATACTTAAGTAGAGATTTACAGCATTGTGTGCAGTCCATTATTTAAGTACTGACCCTGAAAACAAGTAACATAATTTCCTTGAAATTAGTCCTGCCCTTAATTGGCCTATTTATGTTCTTTCCTAGCCACTTTTAAGCCACTGAATCCCTCCCTCCCTCATCTTGGCTTCCCACTCCAGCTGCCTGGTGATGGGAGCTGTAGTAAAGGATAGCAGAGCTGCAACAGCTGCAGGGCCACATGTTCCAGGAAAAGGCCAGACAGTGATGCTGGGGGGCTGCAACCGTGCTCCAGGGTGCTGTATGTTGGTACACATAGGGCTGACATAGGAGTGAGTATTCAGCTGGAACAATGAGCTGAGAAGCAAACATATATATCTCTCAAAGCATTGATTGTTATCTCAGCTGGAGAGATAAGCCCTCCTCTCACCTTATCTCGTAAAAACTGCACCAACCTTGCTTGGCGTGTGGGTTTTCAACATGGAAAATCTCCTTACTCCTGGGAGAAAAGAAATTTGTACATCAGCATGCAAAACTCCTCAGAGGTCTGCTGTGCAGCAAGGAGCTGACACTGTTAATCCCACTAGAACACACGTAGTGTATTATATTTTTAGGGGTGATGGTGGTGTTTGGTGTGAGAAGTAGCACTGATGGGTGAAAATAGAGCATGCTACACCAGTGATGAAAAAAGTGGCTGGAGACACCAGGGTAACCTACTCCTCACACACAAAGTTGGCTCTTGCCAAGATCTGGGCCTAGGTCTTGGCATGGAAAGGAAGTGCTGTGATGTGTTCAGCAATTTTAAAGATGAAGAGAAGACATGGGAGGAAGGGTGATGAAATGTGAACAGAAAGGTGAATGAATGGCACTAGCCAAGCCTCATGACAAGTACCTCATGACAGGCACTGATGCAGGTGAAATTAGTGATCATGCTGTATATGCCTGCTTCCCACAGGTAAGGGGCAATGCAGGAACCACAAATGGATCCACCAGGAGAGGAAAGAGGGACAAGTGCAGTGCTTGCAGAAGTGGCATTTTGCACAAGTACAGGAGCCTGGCAGCAAATTCAATCCCAACACTGAAAGAAAGCTGTCTTGCCTTGGCTCTGCTAGTCCAATGCCTTTGTCCTATGCCCTCAATCACTTCGGATCACAGTTTCATAGCATTTCTCCTTCATGAACTTAAGCAGGTTTAATCAGTCTCAGACAACACTCTAGCAGCTTCCAGGATCCTGGAACCTTGCAAAAGTCAGCTTTCCAGAATACTGGCAAATCGTAGACGATTCAGTAGACTGACTCTTCCCCTGGTAACAATCACAGTAAAAAGGACCTCGAATCTGTCTCCCAGAGGCCAGAAAGGAGACAGAGCATTTATAAGATCTCCCTGAGCCTCATGACATTTTCTGAAAAGTCTGCAGGACAACAAGAAACACCTGAAGCATAGGCCAGGTTCAAGAACAGTGCTGTGCTTCATCATCCTGCTGTTTCCCACAACTCTATGGACAAACAGTGGGAGTATAAGAAGTGTGAGATAAGCCCCTTGAGGGCTTGACTTCTGACATAGAAGCTACCAAGACCATGGTTCTTCTCAAGCCTGGATATTTCTGCTGTGAATGTAAGAAACGCTTTGTGCTTCAGCTCTGCTAAACTCGTGGTCACAGTGACACCCAGTGGAAATGACTTCCGTGGCTGGACTGTATGTTGTGTTACAGGCTTTCCTGTCTTCCGTGTGCTGCTCCACCTCACCACGTTTCCAGAGGCTGTCACAGCAGCTAGCAGCAAAAGGAGACCTCTCATCCCTCGAAAAGTTCACAAGTTGCAAATGCTGCACATCTCCCATCTGTGTCAGAAAGAGATTTGTGAGGTGGAGTTCCCTGGCTTCTTCTTTTATTTGGATTCTTCATTTTTTTCTGATTTCAACCTTCTCTCTGAAAGCTGTGAGGACTGAACTTGAAGGGATGCATCAGGCAGAAAGGGAGTGCTTTCATTGAAACTGTAACAACATTCCTGCCCAGGGAATGCACTTGGTTTCCTTCACCAGGCTCAAGCACTTCAGATCAGCAAAAGAAAGTGCGGCAGAAGTAGCCAAGGACAAGACACTGCACAGTGTACGCACTGTAGCACGACTGCGTGCAAAAATAGCACCAGTGCAGTATCCTCCAGGGAGTGCTTTTAAGTGCTGCAATACATGTATTGTTTACAGTACTACATGTATCAGCCAGCCCTGAATTATGTAGCATATAAGCTTTCACACTTTGCAAGGATTTGTGTCCTGCCCATTTTTAGCCCTATAAGCAGTGCTATGTGTGTGCTCTGCATCAGCCTCCTGTGACAAGCATATTACCAGCTGCCTCCCCTAGTTAAGAAAGAGAGAGTAAAGGCCAGAACTTACCAGCCTGTGGCTGGGGAGACAGAAGCTGATGTGGAGTAAAGGAAAACAGTGCTTCCAGGAGAGGTTTCTCACTCACCTCATTCATCCTTCAGGAATAAATTCCGAGGGCTGGGAGGGGCAGCCACTGCCACTGGAACTGAAGCTGGAGGGAGTATCAATCCGCCCGTGGCCTCTTTGGCCAGCCTTGGACTGTCTTTGATTCTCCTGCTCCTTTCTTTCATCTCTTAGCACTCCAAAAGGACTTTTTGAGCAAGATGCTGCATTTCTTTGTGGGGTCCAAAATCAACCAATATGTTTTTCATCCCCATGAGCTTGCTTTTCCTGCTCACCTCCCTCTGTGATTGCAATACTGGAGTTACAGCAGAGATGAAACTTTAAGAGCAGTCTCTGTGCAGTCTCACTACATGAGTTGTGGCGGGAACATTCTGTCACAATAGAGGTGACATTCAATATCTAACACTGCTCACAGCATCCACTTGTGCTGCTAAAGCACTGTGGCTGGCAATGCAGTCAAGCAGTGTCCTTCTCAATGAGCCTGATGCTAGCATGTCATTAGCACTCTAGACTGCATATAATAGACTGTAATGGTTTCTTCCAGGTCCTATAGTGTTTGCAATTTATTATTTTAATTTATATGTTATCCCTGAGATATAGCCTTCTAACTAATGCCACTGTAATCCAAAAGAAAAACACAATCCAGGGTATTTTTATAGTAATGAACAGATAAAAATGTTTGAACAAGATGTGAACAGAAATCAGGCCAGTGTTAATAAATCACCACTATCAGAGTGGTCATACATGGTATTCAAGCATTCATACATCTATTTGTAAAGCCACTACATCCCTGAACCAAAACGAAACTATACTAAAATATTCATGCGAGTGAGAGCTTCTCAAAGCAATGTGAAATACAGCTTTTCAAAGTATAAAGATTGCAAGAGATTTCACAATGAACTACAGTCTTAAGAACAATGCTGATTAACAATAATTAATATCTATAGCAAATTTACAGAAAATTGTTATTTAAACCTGATAATAACAGTCATTAGGTCAGTGAGTAACATTACTTTGTTACAGCCCACATATTCAACATTCTTTTTGCAGTAATTCCCTGGCAAGAAATAGCAAGGCTGTTTCTCCATCTGATTAATCACTGCAAAACCTGTAAGATCACCTTTCTCATCCAGATGACTTGAGACAAACAGACTTTGGCCAGCTACATAGAGAGTTTGAATAACTCCAGGCAGCCAGTCTTCCTAGACTAGCAGAAATTGATGTGATGGACTGTCTCAGCTCCTCTGACATTGACACCCACTGCCTCCAGAGAGACATCTTTAGTGGTCTGCCCATGTCCCCTGCCCAACCTCTTTTAAGATATTCTGGCAGAAAGACACTCCCTTTCTGTGTCCTCTCCATGTGGGGAGTGTGGAGGGCAAAAAAGGGTGCACATATCTGGAGCACTGCACATCAGTTGACCATACTGTATTTTCAGTAACTACCTTTTTTTATGCAGTGCTTTATAATTATTATTATCTTCCATTTCTGAATGACTGCCAACATAACTGATGGAAAGTTATACCGAAGGTTAAAGATTTTAAATGCAAACAATTGCAAAACACAGCAAATAAGACAACCCTTCTAAAGGTATTCAAACCTTGACCTCCTAGTTTCTCAGAGCCCATGGAAGGACACCAGAGTCATGGCACAGAGCCTCTGGTGCTCTGTGTATTTTTCTGCTGAGCCATGATGAACTCTGTTCTTAATTTCTCTTTTCTTTGCCCTTTTCAAAGTGCTTCAAAAAAATAATTTTTCAAGCTACTATGCCACACATAACAAACACACAGTTTGTCTTTCAAACAGCTTGAGGGATGAGTGCCAGAAAGCCCATAGGTGAAAGTTGTCATATGGGAACAGATACATACACAAAAGTACACATATATGTATATTTTCTTGTTTCTGTTCATTTAAATAACTGATACCTTATAATCTGTAATTCATTTACAGGAATTTCCCATAGTAGCTCAATTTGCTTGTTTGGATAATGATTTATTCTACAAGCATTTCAAGCAATCTTTGGCTGTTTCCCATACATTTAAAGGCTGACTTGAATGGATGACATGCCTCTTGGGGGTTTTGTGCTGCAAGAAGTGCTGGGCTACTCTTTGGAAAGGCGTTCGGTGTGGGCAGTAATTACATCATCAATGAAACCTTCTGAGTGCAATTGTAGAAGCTTAGAAGCAAGGACAGCCCTTTCTGTAATTTCCAAATAAAACTGATTCCCATATGAGTCTCTGATTGAACTACTTCCCAGCTGAAATTACAGTCTTACTAAGGAAGATATGTTGCAATCTCAATGTTTAGGCACAGACTTTCCTCAGGAAAAGGGGAAGCAGGATGGTCTCTTTTTTAAGTCACCATGTTGTTTCTTGCAAAAAGGCTTAACAGCAATATACAGTCCAGACAGGGGCTGGCAGCACTGGGAAGTACAGTGAGATGGATGGATGGATGGATGGATGGATGGATGGATGGATGGATGGATGGATGGATGGATGGATGGATGGATGGATTGCTCTTCCAGCTCTGCTGCAATCCTCTCTCCTCCCTGCCATCCAGTGTTTGTGTCCTTTTGCTCTCTTCCCCCCACACTGCACTGCCTGTGCCTGCCATCTCTGCTTCTGAAAGCATCCATGGTGAGGCACCAGCAACAAAACTGCTGTGGGGGCTGTTCAGAATCTGAATGCTCCTTATTGCTCAGTTGGTTGCACACTTGCCAAAAATGCCTGTTGTGATGCCACTGAAACAGGCTGTGGGAAGAGAAGGTGCAGAAGCAGGGGGAGCAGAGGGCACAGCACAGCACATGCCCAGAGGGGAGGTGAGTGAAGAGCCCCTAAACATTGAGTAAGTGCAGTGATGGGTACTGCATGAAGGAAAGCAAAGTGCAAACATGCTAGAGCTGTGAGATTTCGTTGAAAAGCTGCATGTCCAGCTGCCTTACCAGCCCTTGACTGTCATCACTTGTGGCTACCAGGGAAAGAACTGAAGATCAAAGGCTGCGCTTTATCCCTTCACCCTGCTTCACATCAAGAAGCCCATGGTTTCCAGAAATTCAGACTAGCACACTCTCACTAGCTTGAGATGAAGGGTGTAGAAAATGTTTTTTCAACTGGATGTAGAACTGAGGGAAGCCACTTTACATCACTTCTCTAGCAAGAAAGGGGAAACAAAAGCTCAAGCACTGCTTAATGAGCATCAGTATAGAAGCTGATGCTAGAGCTCTGCAAACTGCCCCATGTGCTTTATTCAGGGCAAGAAGGAGAGTCTTGGTGGACTCCACAAGTAATCTGGGACCTAATTTGAATCTGAACATCTGGAGGGCATGGGATTAGACAATTCACATGTCTAAAGGCAGAGACGAAAGGGAAAGGAGGTGTTCACAGTCCTCACAGGCACACAGATTCATTATTTCTGAGGTGGTTCAACAGTAGACTGCCATATTGTGCCTCAGTTTCCCTAGGCAGGAAATGCATTTAAAGTCTCAAATTAGACACCCCACACCCTTGGCTATGTGGACTGTCAGTGCTTCTTTCCTTCTTAACACTTTACAGTGATGCTGCACTGCTGAAAATTGGAATCTTTACCCAGCCACACTTATTTAGAATACAACCCCAGCTGTGGCAGGGGTTAGGGAAACAATCACCTGTTTTAGTGCATGAGAAGGACTGTGAGACAGAAGCACATCCTTCTTCCTACATAATTTTCTGTTTTCTGGATTTAGTGCTCTAAAATCTCCTTCAGTTGGCAGCCACCTGTCAGCAGACAGAAGGCTGCATGCAGTGGTTGACAGCAAAGACCGAAGATCAGTTGCTTCAGCAAGGCCAAGGGAATGATATTTTTTCTCTGCAAGACAGATGGCAATGTCAAATGCCTTCTTTGCTTAAAGATGTTTTCTTCGGTGATAGTCTGGAGGCTAAACATGCAGACCTTTCTGAAGGAGGCTGTGGCTCACTGCACACACTGCTGTGTTCAGGAGAAAAAATATGTGACTTCTGATGGAGAGGGACAACACAGAAGCATAGCATTTATGCTTTGGGTGGGATCAAAAAAGGATCTTGGAGGTCTGAGGTCTATTTCTCTGCTGCCAGGCAGAGTCAGCTAAATAAACTGAAAGATTCCTGACTTGAGTGGTCATGTCTAACATGACTTAAAAGCCTTCATTATACGGGCACCCTTCTGTATGGCATTAAATCTATGTCCACCTAATGATAGATAAGGTATGGACATGGGCAGAGGGAAAAAGTAATGGCAAAATCTTGGAGTGAAAAATCTGGTCTTTCCCATCCATTTTAGGAGGCTGCATTCTGAGATGGAGCCAAGGGTTTATAGACACAGTCATTGTGCATTTTTTCCACTGACATCATCAGGCCTTTAAGGAGATAGTTTCTAGAAGTTACCATAGAACCAAAGCATTTCAAAATGAAATTGATTTAATAGTACTGAATACATCCATGATAAGCATTAATGCAAGTTAGAGAAATAATATGCCTGTGATGGGTTGAGGATTATAAAAACTGGTCCTTTGCTACTTTCCACAGAATTTTCCAGACTCTTCTGTCTCTGTTAGGTAGCTCCTCTGCACTGAGTATGGCAGAAGTATGCTCAAAAACCCTCCAGCCCCATGCTTGTACAAAGTAAATTCAGACTGCAATTTCAGTAATACAAAGTACATTCCATGTGTGAGTAATCACTCACTTACTTACATCTTGGTGAAATTCTATAGTGTTCTGAGATTATAATTCTCAGGTGCAGTTTTCCTTAACAGTTCTCTACCTCCATAATTGGTATAGCTCAGGACAGTCACCCTCCTATATCCTGTAGCATGGCACAAGTCATACTGACACATATTTCCTCTTTCCACCTTTCCATCTGCAAAACACTTGTTTCTGCATGGTCATCGTCTGAAGACCTTTCTCAGCTACGTATGTTTTAAGAAAGTTACATGCTTAAGGCATGTACAATACTTGTGACGTGTATGTCCTTGTCTTAAAGTGCATATCAGCTGTTCCAGCTGCCGTAGTTCCTGGATTCCTAATGCTGCCTCTTTGCATGATACCAGAAGAGAATATGTGATCTCAAAACCCAAATGAAACACAAAATCTCTGACTGTGTTCAGCAAAGCATGTATGTCCAGGCTTGGATTTAAAAGTGAGCATATGCTTAAGAGTTTTATTGAATAAAGATGAATTTTGACTGTGCAATTTACTATAATCTCTGAAATTCAGTGTCTGCCTAGAAATCAGTGAGGATAAACCTTAAGAAGCACTTTACATTCAGAGGCAGTTTTGTTCCTAGCAAACACTGCAGGCTGTATTTTTGCCTGCCTCCTTTTTAAATGATAGTATGGTGTAAAATCTTCCCCCCCCCAAAAAAAAAGCTAAATTCAAATCTTAAAGAATATCTCCCAGTGAAACAGTGGACATTTGACAACTGATTTCATTTCCAGGCACGGTTTGGGGCACCGCTTAATCAACTGTGCACATTGTTGTGTGAATAGACTCATTGAAGTGACTTGGATGGCACCCTACAGTGAAGAGAGGTGTCCAGAAGACTGTAGGTTTAGTGAATCACTGACGTCCTGAAGAAGTTTTCAAGAGAAGGACCCTAAAGAAACGAGGAAAACTGACTCAGTAATGTACCATGCAAATGTGGAAATAAATGAACAGTAATATTGCATTATTGGAGACCTCAAGCACAGATACTGTATCTTAGTAAGCTTAGTAAGATCTAGATGCAGTTCTTACCTACACTTCGTGAGAAAGAACTATATGCATTAGTGCAATCTGGAAAAGTCAAATATGAGCAATTAACTGTAACTAGCTCTGAGGAACAGTAGCTGCTGCCACTTATTCAAATGATGGGGAGAATGCTACTTCTGCCCTCAACAGGGATCTGAAGGCATCTGTGCCATCCTGCTGGTGATAAGGTGATTTTGATCCATTTAAGTTTTATTTCAAGTCAAAGAGTAATGGGCAGTTTGGTCCAGTGACTGAATATTCAGGGACCAGTTTTATTTGCTGTGTGTTTAGGAAGCTGTGGGAGGGGGTGGGTTCTCTCCTTCAGCTCTGCACACACACAGATTGCTAATTACTTGATGTATTTTGGTATCTTTTATGAAGGAAAAGGGTGGAAAGGAGATCAGAATTGGACCTGCTTCAAAAAATTCCCATCCTCTCTAAGAAAAGTGGAAATAATTTGTTCTCTGTCTTGCAATGGACATGGATTCAGTGAGATACACAAAGCCTCAGGCATTTCTTGGTGAGAATAAAAATAAATAAAAATACATGCTGAAAAACTTGTCCCTGGTTACCAACAAAAGCCCATTCCATATTGGAAAGTTTGCTCAATTATGAGGTTTCAAGACAACATATAAATCATTGGCATCCCCAGAAGTTGTTTCTGTCAAGGCCACAGCAGAGTTGGGCTTTTCATTTGGAGTAGCTGAGCCTCAGCTGGTGCATGAACCACCAGGGACTGTCCTCTGCCCTTGGGCTGGTGGTGCCCAAGGTCCAGTGCTGGCCACATGAGTTTTGCCCTTGTAGCTGCTGACATGAGAGACTAATGGCACAGTACCATTTCTTTCCCAATATCACCTTCTGAAGTGGATTGCTGGATTGCTTAGAGTGACATCAGTAGTCCTATTGACTTTGGGGAGGCAACCGTGGGATAAATACCCTACAGCACACTATCAGGAGTGCTAAACAAAGTATTCTTCTTGTTTGATCTCAGCAAGCATGGGAAAGTGCTGAGCACTGATGAAATGCTTGCAAGAAAGTAAAGATTTTCACCCAAATAGCTTTAAATCAGAGAGTTTTTTTCTCATTGAAACAGTTGACACAGAAGAAAAGGGAATTGTTTTTCACATAAAATATCATTTCTACATTTTATCAAAAACATCAACAGAAGTTTTCTAAACTCTGTTTTTGTCAAACACAGATTATACTATGCAGATGAGCTCAGGCAGCTACAGAGAGACAAATGAGAGCAAATAGCCTGGTATTTGCTCCCACACAGATGACTAAACAGAGATTTCCGATTTCCATGCCTCCTAGGCAGTCTTAGCAAGTTTTCCCTCTCCAACTGTGGGACTGAAGAAAAGAATGAAGAAAGATGAAGAGAAACCTGCACACATCACAAATGTTGCTCTCAATGAATGCTGAAATATTATTCTTACTCAGTGTATCTGTCAGTGCAAGTGCCAGAGTTCAAAAACAAGCACTGCTGACACAATAGGACTTGCAGTGCTACAAAAAAATGGGTGGTGGTCACCAGCCAGAAAAGTAAATGGTTGTTAAGGACACCTATGAAAAACAACTGAAGGAACTAGGGTCATATATATGCTAGGATGATAAGACATGGAGATAATAGGTTTACAGAAGTGTAATTGGCCTTCAGACATATTAATACTGCTGTTGCCACTGCCAGAGAGCAGGACTGGCATACACTTTTTACCAGAATATTTTCCAAAAATGTCCCAAATGCTTTACAATTCGGATTTTATATCTGGGAAGAATGAAAACATTTATTTTGTCTTTTAAAAATACATTTCCACTCTAAAAGTAAAAAAGGGAGGGTTTTTGTGCTTCAAAATGAGTGCTTTAAATAATTTTTTTACATCTTAAAAATTTCATCTTTTTGCTTCCTTTTACTTTACCTTCTTTCAAGTTCTTGCTTCTACTTACTTCTTCCCAAAGAAAAGGGAGACCAGAAGAATATGAAGGGACCTTTGGAGGAAATTGCTGTTCCTATGTTCTCTGTTTCTTCAAAGCAAAATGATAGAGAAGTACAAATTACCTTAGTTTTGAAAAATCAAAGCTAAAAATTAGGAAAATGGATTTTCCATTTTTTAAGAAATGGAATGCAAATGTAGATGAAAGTTAAATTAAAAGCTTTTTTTTCTGGAACACCTGGTAAAAAAAATTTAAGGGCATTTCAAAAAGGAACTTTTGTTGTTCCAATACATTTTCTTGAGAAATGTGTTTGATTTTCAGTCTTCCAAAAGGAAAGGAGCAAGTTTTCCAAACTAGAACTGCCAGAGTTAGATTTAAGTAAATTCTGCAGAACCAGTATAGTTGATGCAGAAATCATTACTGACAAAAATGGAGGACCATTTCTGTAGACACATTTTTGAAAAAATAAACTGTGTACAGACCTCCACCCATGAGGCAGTAATGCCCTTTTTACTTACTGCATAGTCTATTTAAGTACTACTTCTTCTGGATCTCCTTTCCATTTAAAAAAAGACCATTCAGTGACAGGCTCACACATTTTCATTCTTTGGCCTTGCCAAAGTGAGCTGCTTATCCACCAGCCCTTGCCTTCAAACTTTTGCATAAGGATGTTGCTCTACAGCTCATTGCCTCACCACAGATCGTTGTTGATCCCAGCCAGTGCATGGTTGAACTTTGATGCTCTCACTGCAATTACAAAAACTGCAAGTCACAAGTTTATTTCATTCAGAAGCATGCTTTCAATTTCACCTTAAACTGAGCTCTTGTGTCCCACACTGGTTATCAGACACCCTCAGCAGACATACGCAGAAAGGACTTGAATAAATTTAAGTTCTGTTAAGGTCAGCAATCATTATTTGCACTGTGCAAAGACAAATACCGAGATTATTATTTTGTTTATGTCCATCCCCTG